GGGGAAGGGGGAGTGTGCGTCAGTCCACGATTTCCACGTGCTTGCAACTGCAGACATATACCTGTGCAGCGTCACTGGTCACCAATTGAATATAATTAATACTCACTACTTTGCGTTACATTTTTTCAACCATAACATGTTATCGAACTGTTGAAATTCTATTGAATAAAGGCTGAAAGTTTCTAAAGAAACTGTGGTGCTGCGTCGGCGGGGGTAACAAGGTAATTTGGTTATATCAACTAAGTTGAAATTGTGAATTGGCTACTGTAACAAGTTAAAAAGCTGACGTTTCGAGCGTGAGCCCTTTGTCAGAGCGAAGGGCATTCGCGCATTTGCTCTGACGAAGGGCTAACGCTCGAAACGTCAGCTTTTTGACTCATTACGGTGGCCAATTTACAATTTCAACTAAGTTGATATAACCAAATTACGAAATTCTGACGAGACGGGAAGTCAAAGGAGACAGAGATCTCACACGCGCAAGAGGAGGAGGGAACTCTCCATTCACGTGTCTGTCGCTCTCGCGCGCTTGTTTCTCGTGTTCTCCGTCGTCTTGCACCTGCCGCGTAGTCGACATCATGATTTTATTCGCACTTAGTAGAAAGTAAATACCGAGTATAATTATTCATGGTGTTTTTTTTTTTTGTTTTTGTTTTTTGTTTTAAATTCTCAAGGGAGAGATTTCTGAGCGAAAACATAATTTGAAACCATGACTGATGACACTTCAACCGGGCTACATTATTTTTAGACGCCATCCAACTTTGAATTCGAAACAGCGCTTTCCTCCATTCTGCAAGGACTCGACCGGAATTCCCTCCATAATAAGAACCTTATTTATTGAACTAACCGCCGAAACAGTGCAGAATTTTTAGCTCAAAGTAGTGACGAATCATACAATTGTCCTCGATTGCAACTAATTTCGGAAAAACTTCAACAAAATGTAATCGTCCGAATATCAGTGTATCAATTACCTTGTGTCGCTGAGCCTCCAGTTTTGATATAGATAACTGTTATTGTTTATATATATATATATATTTTACAAACTGAATATCACGCCGAAGCCTCGATGCTGTCTACCAAAGCGGAAAAGCGTTATTATAAGTGAGAGTTTGTGCTGAAAGTAATCGATCGGTCTTCAGAGATGAAACCGTTACTCAAAGAATGAAAGTCTCACCTCAGTAACTAGCGGCCACGCTACTCATTTGCAAGCGCCCACTGATCTGCCGTCTCAGCCAAATTTTAATCATGATCCGGTGCACGACATAGTTCTCTTATAGACAGTCTTAAGTGGAGATTACGATGAAAGAAATGATCAAGATTCACGAGCAGACTGAACAGATCAGATGATTCAGGCCCGAGTTATTCTAGAGGCTTTCTGTTTCGAAATCCCGACCATTTGGTCACTAATCTCGCAGTCTGTCATTTGTGCTAAATGACCCAGCACTGTGAAACAAAACATCTATAAATAACCGGTAGCGATTATTTAAATGCTAAATTTTCGAGCTGGCACTCGAATGAGATGTTTCTGCCCTCTGGGCGCGCGTGTTACTCGCATTCTCACTTAACGGCTGCTCGGCTGGAACTAATATCGCTGAGATAAACTTAACAAACTTTGTCAAGTTTCATTTATGGACTCAAGATATCTGAGAGGGTATCAGGTTTTCCATTTAGCTCATAGGACCGGTTATTTAAACAAAGTTCACCTGTTGTTCCACAAACCAGCGTTCTAAACTACCTTGAATTTAGCTGAATCTTTTATCTGAACATATATTTTTCTGAACAGTGTCAAGTGGGCCGATTGGAGCAATAGGAATGATTCATAGCGTAAACAATTTACATCTCCATCAGAGTTTCATATCACAATTTGTTACAGTTGGAAACCTCAAAAACCGAATGAAAGGTGAGATGGTCTGGCGAAAGCTGCAAAAATAAACTACAGAAATGAGTACCTTTCGTAATATTTCAAGAGTAAATTCACGACAATTTCAAAAGAAAATCAAAAGGTTGAAATCAAAAACTATTCATTTAAGAAGCTATCCATAAAAACTGGACGGATTTTAAGCGAAATGCAAGGGGGATTTTAGGCGGAATGCTAAGAGGTTTAGGTAACGTATCCCAGGTGAACTACCTTCTTTTCCAGAGAGTACAGTAATACCTAATTTCCCGTCGCGCAATCAAGTCCATGATAACCTCAAGCAGTGCGATGCTCTTGGTTCTGTTGATATCTTAAAGCTCTTGAAACAAAATTTGTAGGAGGAATATGTCATAATAAATGTCGCGATTTTCTGAAAACTAAACTTAGATTATTACGATGATCTTAAAAAAGAAAACTGATTTTGTTATCATAATTATGAAAAAGCACTGTTTGCGCACTTTCTCAGATGGATTTAAAACTGTCTGTGTTCAGTGTAATCCACTAATATCCGAGGTCAAGATCCCGTCGTTGTTTCCTCAAATTTCTGAGACGCTTCTCCCCGGATTTGGTGATCCTATTCATAACTAGCTTTAGCTCTGTAACTTTGCACGTTGGTGACTGGAGTGCTTGGCACAGTCTGAGAACGCCGGCATCGGTAATTTGATTTGCGGTCAGGTCTAGACGGGTTATTTTACATGTTACTGCCGGTAATGCTTGGCATAGACTGACAACACCGGCGTCGGTGATCTGATTACCACTCAGATCTAGCGCAGAGACTTCACACGTAGCTTCTTGCAATGCCTGAAATAGACTGGCGACCCCAACGTCTGTGACATCATTATAACCCAGATATAGAGTGGTTATTCTTGATGTTGCTGTCTGTAATGCTTGGCATAGACTGGCTACTCCATCGTCGCTGATCTGATTACCACTCAGATCTAACGCGGTGACTTTGCACGTTGCTACCTGTAATGCTTGACATAAGCTGACGACACCGGCATCGGTGATCTGATTTCCCTTCAGATGCAGAGTGGTAACTTTACACGATGCTGATTGTAATGCGTGACATAGACTGACAACACCGGCATCGGTGATCTGACAACCACTCAGACCCAACTCGGTTACTTGAGATGATGGTGTCTGTAATGCTCGACATAGACTAGCAACACCGGCATTGGAGATCCGAGAATTAAAAAAACTCATTTTGTTCAATACTGACAAGGACAACAATTTGCTGATCACATCAGCAGATTCGTCATCAAATTGCCAAGTGCGCATGCGTAGTTCGGTAATGGTGCAGAACTCTCTCTCTAACGCTGTAGTGATTCGTCTTAATCCAGTCTTCGTGAGCTGAAAACACCTATTGAGATTCAACCGTTTAATCAACGAAAAACGGGACTTTTTAAAGTGAGTACTGTACCTACCGGCGGTTTCTTCAGCATTTAATGCGCTGACGACATCTAACAGGAATGACACAGCAATACAGTCAACATCATTCAAATCTTCAAATTCAACCTCTTCATAATTGATAAAAAATTGATGGTAACGTTTCTTTATCATATTTTGTGCAAATTCTTTATGTTGGTACTCCGTGATACACTTCATTGATATTAGTGCTGCCGTGCGCTCACCCAAAGAAGTATGAGTGAGTCTCTCAATTAGTTTTTCCATCAAGGCTTTGTCGTTTTGCTTTGATAAAATGCCAGACATAAACTGAAATACCATTGTTGACGCATTTTCTCCGAGGGAAGGGATCTCTTTTCTCTTCACAAACCAACGAGCTGCTAAGTATTCCTGGAGGGTTATATGAGTGAAACAAAAATATTTTGTCGTTTCAGAGAAAGATTTTCTGAAAGGAGGACTGCTATGAAGAACGCCGCTAGCTCTGAAGTTTTCCACTTCTTCTGAGGAGAACATTTTCATATCCTCGACTAGGAAGTTAAACTTTTTCTCCCAGAGCAAGTGAGCAGCAAACTCTGATAGTTTTTCCAGAGTACCTTCGGGCGGAGATGCAGTGCTTTTATCATGGTTTCTTAAAAACATGTTAACTACCTCGAAATAAATGTCAATTGTGTTGACCGGGAGAGCATCAGTATCCATTGATTCCTTTAAAATGTACTCAAAATAGGAGCACATCAGAAAACAGAGAACTGGAATGTGGGCGAAGCTGACGAGATTGTCATTCTTTGCGATGTGATCCATTACAGCGTTCTTCATGATTTCGTCTCCTTTGAAATACTTCTCAATGAATTCCTTAACCTCTTTCTTGGAAAATCCTGTAATTTCTACATATCGATAGAAGCCAATTCTTCCTTTCAACCTATCGGACTCATCGGGTCTTGAAGTTATCACGACAACTGAACCTCTCAGTATTTTCCCTTTGATTAGCTTGGTACATAGGGCTGCTACTGGCATTTTCTCTTGGGCGTTATTTGGATACCGCTCATCCAAATCTTTAGTGATGAAATCCGCTTGAGAATACTCGTCATACCCATCAATGATAATCAAGACTTCCTCAGGATGGTGAAGAATGTATTTAATTATAGAGTCATCGACATTTGAGCAGTCATCTAGCACAGAGGATCGGTTCAAAATTTCCCTCAAAGTAACATGGTCATCTCCAAGTAAATTCAGTTGACGGAAAGTCAGCAAATATGCGAACTTAATACCAAGACAATTGGGGTTCGTTCGTAACTGAAACAATTTGTCTTCGGCCCAATCTCGAATCAATTTTTGGCAAAAAAGTGTTTTACCAATCCCTGCCTTCCCAGTGATAAGAACAGATTTGGGATTCGTTTCCTCGTTACTATCGGTTTCGGATATAAACATTTCTTGACAGCCTTTAATAGGCTTTCCACTCACTCGACCATACTGGCGAAGTTGGTCTATTCTTCTCCAACCAGGGTATTCAACTGGCTTTCTTCCGTGTTGCATAAGAAGACTTGTAAAAACGTCATCTGTTCTCGCCCTCGACATGACAGTAGAGGCTGAAGCTTGAAACTCAGTTTGGCTCTTTACTGATGCTTTCAAGGCGTTTGTGTAGGCTGCCACAGCTTAAAGCAATTCCAGATCAGTAGCGTTAGTGATCTGAGAATAGATGCAATTTTTGACAGAATGTGTTTGCCCAGTTGTTTTCTAATTACGCAAATGAGTTTAGTAACGGTATGCGTGGGCCTTTTAATTATTTTTTTCTTCAAAAGCATTGTCTTACTCAGCCTCTGTCTCGACTTTATCTGATTTTTGAAGCTCTTGTTAATTCAACATGGTCATGGGGAATTCTTTCCTAATGTCGACTTACTGAAAATAAATGAGTGCATGCATAAAAAGGAATCGCGATAGTGATGGGCGTGATCATCATTAATTGTCACGTCAGAACTGTCGCTCTTTTGGCTACCTTTAATAGCTTGTCGCCACAAAATTAGAGATTATCCCCGTTATGAATTCATCCTGTGTCCTTAACATAAGCTTTGTAAAAGGCTCTGCATATGGTAAACCCTTTAAAGCGGATTTAAAGCGCTGTTAACAGCAATGGTTATCATTTCTGCCATGACAGTTTGAGACTCTTCAAATGAAAATTAGTGGTGAGTTTACGCATTACATTCTACTCTCTTAGGAGTGGATATTCCTTCATTAATGATCAGATCAAATTGCCTCTGTTTCGACTTTGCAACACCATCATAGAAGGGTCTGTGCTGGTCAAATACTCTAAAAAAGAAACTAAAGCCTCATTTGTACCATCAAAACATAGCAGTGATCAGTATCACTGAATGAAAATCAGCTAATAGTAAATTGAAAATCGGAATATTTTTAGTACTTCAAACAATCACCAACTTGTATTATAACATAACCAAAGTTAAGCGCGCGCTCTGATTGGTCAATTTAGCGTCCCCCATTTGCCCATGGGTGTACGCTGCTGACGTGAGCAAATGCAAAGGTAAGATTTGTTAAATAAAAGGGAACTCTTTAGCTACAATGTATCAATGTTATGTTATAAAATAAATGGTAAACACCACAGCGTACACCATTGAGTTATGGATGCTCTTGGGAGGTTTGCTAAGCACTCAAGAAGCTAGAGTCGCTCTCGGCTATCGCCTCGAACGACTCTTACGCTTCTTTCGTGCTTAGCAACCTCCCGCGTGCATCCATAACTCAATAGTGTACGCTGTGGTGTTTACCATTTGTTAA